TACTATCTGGAACGAGCTCCCCCCAGAGATACGGAGGATCCCGGATCTGCGCACCTTCCGCCGCGCCTTAAAGACCTTACTATTTCACCAGGCCGGCCTGGCCTAATTTTCCCCCTCTTTTATAAAAGATTTTTAAAATTTTAAATATCTTTTAGTATTTTATATATTCAATTTTAAATTGGTTTTAAAAGTTTGGGGTTTTAAATTTGTCAGGGCCAAAATTATTTAATTTGATTTTATTCTATTTTTAAATTTTGTATTGTATGTGTTTTTATTGTTTGGCTGTGCACCGCCCTGAGTCCTTCGGGAGTAGGGCGGTATAGAAATCTAAATAAATAAATAAATAAATAAATAAATAAATAAATAAATAAATAAATGATTAGGGGACTGGAGGCTAAAACATACGATGAACAGTTGCAGGAACTGAGCATGGCTAGTCTAGTGAAGAGAAGGACCAGGGGAGACATGATAGCCGTCTTCCAATATTTGAGGGGCTGCCACAGAGAGGAGGGGAGTTGACCCGAAGGCTAGACAAGGAATAATGGATGGAAACTGAACAAGGAGAGATTCAACCTAGAAATGAGGAGGAACTTTCTGACAGTGAGAACAATCAACCAATGGAACAGCTTGCCTTCCAAAGTTGTGGGAGCTTCATCACTGGAAGCTTTCAAGAAGAGATTGGACCGCCATTTGTCAGAAATGGTGTAAGGTCTCGTGTTTGGGTGGGTGGGGGGTTTGGACTAGATGACCTACAAGATCCCTTCCAACTCTGTTAATCTAATCTGTAAAGTGAGGATTTAATGCAAAAACCAGCACAGTGTCTTTATATATTTCTGGGACCCTTTTCTTGAAGTACCTATCTGAAAGAATCTCTTCATTTAAAGTGGCTGATGACTAGTATTTTACTGACAGTTAAGATCTGCTTATTTATTTTCATCAAGGATTGATAAAATGCAAATGTCTCAGAATGTCTGTTACAAAAATATTTAGCTTTAAATTCCTACAATACAATTGAAAGTTTTATACATTTCTTTGCAACAATAAAAAGAAATTACTTGCTCATCTATAAAAAATGCTTGGTGGAATGTCTCCGTAGGAAGCAGAAAAAGCTTGCAGTCAGCAAAAATATTTTCTTCCAAGCCATAATACTGATTGTTTAAGAATTCCCCACCACCCCGGGCTAGTGAGAAGTCCAAAAATAGCACAACAGAATTCAATTTTCTTTGGATTAGAACACAAAGGGGACTTAGTATGTAATATTTACTTTATTTACAAATAAACAATGCTTAGCAGGAATTTATCCTGAATATATAAGTAAAGACTTAGAAAATGAAAGTTGAAGAAGTTTGAGACATGGATTGCCCCCTCCCCCCAAAAAACTAATACTCTTTCCACCAGAAATAACTAGAAATCTCCTATGGAAATTCCTAATTTGGAATAAGTGAACTACTTTGAAATGCAGCATTTTACCAATTCAAAAAGTATAACATAAAGAATTTTATCTGTTATTTTAATGTGAGTTAAATAATGAAAATGAACATGCTCAACATTCAAGTTGCATCTCTATACCTGATTGAGCCTAGTCCTCATAGTGTACCACCCAAAACATGAGAAAACATGTGCTTTATTTCTCTGGGCTATGAATACAACAGTGAAACCTATTTACATTTGTTCTATCTTGCTCTTTCTCTCACCTATTTTTACTCCTCATATATTTGTTTTGGGGTACCATACACTCTAAATGACCAAACTACATATGACCAAATTAGATCAACACCCTTCTTTCATATTGGCCTCTTACTGCAGTCTTTGTTTAGCATTGACTTGTTTTTTATATTATCTGAGTCCAATGGGAGAATGATTCGTGTTTGTTTTTCTTTTGAGGCTTTAAATTGGGGAAAACTGTTGAGGAAAACCAATGAATAGGAAGAAGAAAAACGATTTTGTTATGTGAAAAGGGAGGGGCTGCAGAAAGTTCTCCTTGCAGATTTAGTTTTCATGAGAAGAAAACATGAAAAGAAGTATTTCTGAGTTGATGTGTTTATGCATAGATGAAAGCTTATGATGGAATGGTGTGTTTCTGACTGCACATGAGGGCTGGTATAGAGATCTGGATGTCCCATAGTTGGTTGTAAGTCAGTGTGGTTGTTAAGAGAGATGACCACATGACCACTTCACTCAACAACCACAATCGTGGTTCTCCCAGTTGTGGTCATTAAGGTGGACCAAAAGATCTGCCTACCAAAGGAGGGAAGGTAGCTCTTCTCCATGCCCAAACGCAATTCCAGCAATGAAGAAAGGAAGACAGATGGTTAACATATAAAGATTTTCTAGTACAGGAAAATAGAGGCAGCAGAAGACATCAAGGGACTCTGAAGGTGGGATGCATTCAGAAACAATGGTTCTGCCCTTTGAAAAGCAGTCCCACTGTTTGGTCTTTGGCTTTTATTATCATTGGCTGGAAATCAGGGTGGATTTGATTTAAATCGAGTCGATTTAAATCATGATTTAAATCATGATTTAAATCACTAGTAAAAAGACTTGATTTAAATCAACTTGATTTAAATCATAATTTTTAAAGAGCAACTGTCATCTCTGCTACTCCTTTGACCCGCTGTTGACTCACCGATAGTCCCAGTGTTGCAGGATATACAGCCTTGTGCTACATAACTAAGCTCCATTTCATGCTGAATAAACTAAATTATTTATGTATCTTAAATAGAAAACTATCTTACAATAGATTTTTACCCCAAAAGATTTTTATTAAAATAAATTCAATAAAAATCACAAAAATCTGATTTAAATAAAAAAATCCGATTTAAATCAAAAAAATCTGATTTAAATCAAAAAAATCTGATTTTTTAAAAAATCAATTTCCTGCTGGAAATTAAATCCTCAGGGGTCCTGGACTCTGGTAGGTCTAGCTAAAGTGTCTAGGACTTGTTCTAGTGGTGTAGTCTGGGATAAATTTGAACCAGTAACTCTTGAGTAAGTGAACAAGGATCTCAGCACTTTTAGTTGAGCCACTTGTTTGTTGGACCCTTCTGATTAGTTAAGGCAGCCTGGGAGATGAATTGTGGTTGGATTCATGCTATGGTGGCAACATCTTTGAGGGAAGAGGTTGTCCTTCGGCCTTGAAGGAGGTGAAGGTGCACCCCATCTTCAAGACTTAACAATATAAGACAAGTGTTATCCTTTCCCCCTCCTAAAAGGAAGTTGTTGAAAAGATGGCAAAATTGCAGAGGAAGCTGGAGGAAGTGTGTTATCTAGACCCATTTTATTCAGAATCTCAGGCTAGAATTCAATATGGAGGCATCCTTGGATGGACTTGTAGATGATCTGTATGGTTGGAGCAGTGTATCCATTCTTGTTCTCATTGATCTCTCCATGACTTGTAATATTGTTTTATAGTGGTTTTTCTTCTTCCTTTGAGAAAGGTACTGATCTTGGCTATGGAAGAAAGGTCATTTCCTAGTTCTTCCTTTGTTAAGTGCCACAGGGTCAACCCCCTCTCTCCTTTTGTTCAACATCTATATGAAACCACTGTGGATGTTATTTGCCATTTCTTGACTGTCTGCCTATCTCTCATCATTTCAGCCCAGCTGGTTCAGGCCAACAGGACTGCCATGCTCTGTGTTCTTTCAATCAATCAGTTTCATCTATTGTGATCCCAAATCTCTGTTGCTGTGCTTGTCCTCTGGAATGAGGTTCCAAATGATATCCATGTGGCTCCCACTCTGATAGCATTCCAGAAAGACTTGAAGATCTGGATGTTCCCTCAGGCCTTGGGTTAGGCTGATTGGAGCCCCAGGGGAATACACTCAGTGTTGTTGATCAGATTTGCCATCTCATCTTGTTCTATCTTCCCTTTCTTGTTCCTTTGTTTTTAATATTTTACTTTATTTTCCTATTTTATTGTATAATGCCCAGATTAAAAAAAAACGGTATTGGGCAGTGCCTAAATTGAATAAAGAAAACAAAGCTATAATAATGCAGGCAACAGGGTGGAGAAGGATACCAGTTTATTTGGGGGAAGCAAATATAAGCCCTTTGTCATTTCATGCTACAATCAAATAATAAAATAGAAATCAAAGTACAACCCTGTCATATAGCTTTTGCTAAATCTTAATTCCCATAGCTGTTTTTCCTGGGCATATATCTTCTCTATGTATATGTCTTCTTTGAGATTTTGTCTCCTCTGGATTTATGTCTTCTCTGGGCCTATCTTTGTCTCCTGCAGCCCTATTCAAAATTGACTGAAGTATTCACTGAGAACATAAAATGTATGTACTAGATTGCTAGTTTCAGACCTTTGGAGATGACCACTGGCGTTCTGAGGAAATAATCTTTCCATTAAAGCAATAGAGATGCCCTGTTTCATATATTTTCCCTTACAGCCATTGACTTAGTGTATTGATGCAGAGTTAAGGCCAGTTCCACATTCATTAGGAAAGTTTTTTTTTTAAAAAAAATATAAAATATGTTGTACTGTGTCACTAGAGCAATATCCTTATATAATATCCACCTTTTCAGTAATTTTCTAATGAGCTTTCAATGTGTTTGATACTCATATTAAAACCAATGTTGTTTAATTAATAAAATGCTGGACTACGATTGGAAAACCAGTGTCTACTCTTAAGCATAGAAGCTCACTTTCTCTCATCCCAATTGACCTCAATTTATTGTAGGGAAAATTGGAAGAGCAAACTCTGTATTATAGTATTGACTAAGTTCCTGGAGGAAAGGTACTATATAAAGCCAACAGAGATTTGATTCTCATCCTTGGATGTTGTAAAACTATTTTAAACATCCTTTCCTCTGCTTGTATCTATACATATTTTTGTTTGTAGGAAAGTTGATTTAAAAAAGAAAGAAAGATTATTATTGAAGATGGGATATCTTTTCTGTCCCTGGTTGCAGAGGCTGTGTTAGCATATAGTACTATGAAGATGTAATGGCACTCCTGTGATTATTCTCTCTCTTTCTTTTTTCATTTGCAGGTGTACAACTCAAATAAGGACAACCAAAATGAAGGCAGTAAGTAATTTATTATTTAGTAAAAAAAAAAAAAAAAAAGCTAATATGAGCAAATGATTTTTTTAGACTTGAATGCTTGAATAAGCCAGCAGATGGTGCTCCATAATCTACTCTAACCTTCTGTATGTTGTTGCTTTAAACTTTCAGGTATAGTTTTGGGGGTCAAGTGGTTTCACAGTAACAGTAAAGGCTGACAATCACTGCATTAAACAAAAGAGCTTTATAGCTGCTGGAGTTCCAGCAAGTAAACATCTGGATGCAACCCAAGAACTGTGGAGTTCTGTAACTGGCTTTGTTGCAAATTGTGTGTTTCCTTTGGCGAATTATTTAACAACCTTTTGTCTCAGTTTACACAACCCAGGCACAGAGGTTTACAGAAGGGAAGTGAGAAGGAGAACTAAGATTTTTCTTCTTCTGAATCTTAGTTCCTTGTTTTACTTTCCTTAAAATTGAATGAATAGAAATAAAATATCTTGTGTTAAAAGGAGTTTATCCAAAACCTGAGTCTGCCCCCAAGACTGTTGTTGAGCAGATGTATTTTTGGAATGAAAGGCTCTTTGTACATATGAAATAGCACTCTTTAAATATTTTCCTCTCTTTACCCCAAATATTGGACACAGCAAATGGCTTGATATGTGTTTTGCCGAGCAACTTGAACTTCTATTGCTATTTAAAATGTGTTCTCTGTTTCTAAGCAGGGAGCCAGCTTGCAAATATCGCTGCAACTGGGGGGGGGGGGGGTGTTCTTTCTTTCTTCTCTTTACAGCTGCTGCCCTACAGTGACATAGCAACAAATCTCTTATTTATCTTGGGTGTGGCTTATAAAGTTAGTGTGGGTTTTCATGTTGGTTATTGAGTTTGGGAATACGGATGAAAGGCATTCTTTTTAACCCTGCAAGCTCAGAAATACTTGGAACACAGTAAAAGAAACTCCTCCTATTGCTCCCTTCCCTTTTTTTTTTCTAAGAGCAAGCAGCATTCAGTTGAAACCGTCATGAGCTCATCGTCCCTTTTCATCCTAAGGGATCCCTGCTGGTTGTGTTTCTTTATAAATAGAATGTTGTTCCTAGTAAATTTGAGAAGCAGCTTCTCCAGCTGTTGGGTCACTCCGGCTGACAGAGACTATATACAGTAGTGGTCCAGTTTCTCTTGCTGCTTTCAGTTGATAAATGCCATATAATTTTAAACCCACACTTTCCTTTCTTCCCTTCCCAACAGTACAAGATTTACATACCTATCATCTCTTTAATAGCACTAGTGTGTTAAACAAGACGGCACAATTAGAGATAATTGCACCTCAGCAGATTGTGAGAGTATGTCAGCCTAGTGTTTCTAGGAATCTCTCTTCCTACCAGTCGTATGTTCCTGTGTTAAGAAATGTAAAGAAAAAAGCAGTAGAGAAGCTTGCAGTGAGACAAGTTAGCCGCTGGTGATTTTGACTAATATATACGAAGCAAAACCATGGTTTTATTTTTCTGTGACACGGAGACTTCCTGTCGCTGACTTTTTAAATTTAGAATTCTACAAAGTAGTCCTCGATTTACAACAGTTTGTTTAGTGACCGTTCAAAGTTACAAAGGCACTGAAAAAAGTGACTTAAGATCGTTTTTCACATCCCTGTGGTCACATGATCAAAATTTAGACACTTGGTAACTGACTCATATTTATGACGGTTGCATTGTCCCGGGGTCATGTGATCACCTTTTGCGAGCTTCTGACAAGCAAAGTGAATGGGGAAGCCAAATTCACTTAATCCCCGGGTTACTAACTTGACAACTGCAGTGATTCACTTAACAACTGTGACAAGGAAGGATGTCAAATGGGTCAAAATTCACTTAACAACTGTCTCACTTAGCAACATAAATTTTGGGCTCAATTGTGGTCATAAGTCAAGGACTACTTATAAAGAGGAAAACCATGATTTTATTTTTTTGTGACACGGCTACTTCCTATTGCTAGATTTTTAAATGCAGAACTCTATTTAGGCGAAAGGAAGAAGAGGGGTTTCCCCCAAGTAATTTAACTTTAAATTAGGAAGGCATATTAAATCTGCTGAAAATGTGGTAAAAGGGGCAGATAATGGTTTTAGCAATTTTTTCTTTTCTTTTTGGATTCATCCTCTTTTGGGGGGATGTTTAATTTCAAATATTTGAATGGGGGAGGGTTGCACTTATTCCTATTGCTATAGGTCTGCTCTTTTGTTTTGATTTTAGTGGTTTCTTGTATATGACCTGAAATTGCCGTGGAAGTCCAGGCAAAGCTCATTAATCAAAGAAAATGATGGCCAATGACTTATCTTTGTAGTATGCCATAAATTGGTCCCGCATTTCTGTGGTTTCAGTAGGAGGAACATTATCATCAGTTTACCACTATATGACAGTTTTCTGTTATCCGTGGACCAGCAATTGGCAAAATTAACACTGAAAGAATAGTTGAATTTATTTGCTGATCTCTGTAATTATTTTAACTGGGACACCTTTCTCCAATCCTCTTCCCTTGTTTCCTTGCCCAGGACATTCCTCTGCTAATAAGAACAGGCATTTCTCTTTTATAGTCACTAGTGGGAGAAGCAATAAAATCTGGGCCACCAGAATGGCGAGGAAAAAAGGAAAACTCAACTATTTTTCTGTACACACAAACCTCCTTTCTTCTCAAATCCTACATTGGATGGGATTAGTATTAACTGCTGCGGTAAATTCAGAATTGTGTGCTTCTGTGTACAGTTATGTAAAATGTGCAAATACATTTATTTTAGCAACCAGCAACCTCTCCAATGCCATTTTTGCACATCTCAGGTCCTTTCCACCTATATTATTGAACATTGGTATTCTTCCATTTTGAGACTGAAAGCAGTTGGGAAAGATAGGACATGCCTATCTTTGCTAAAATATGCTAGATGGCATCATCACCTTCCTATCATATCCCAAAGTCCCTTCACAGCCGCTAAAACTTTGCCTGTCACTTGCCTCATTCCAGTTATAGTGCTGATAGGGAAATAAAAGCATTTTATGTTCTCTGTTCTAATCCCAGGAGTCGATTAACTGAATGCTTTCATATTTTTTTTTCAATTATAGTGGTGGAAGCAATTTCTTTTGTTTTTGCTGGGATTATAATTCAGTGTAGAACTCTTCTCTAGCAGCAACCCAGATCTCTCAAAAGAATTGTGAGTAATTGAGTATGAAAGTCATGGCAAATTTGAGATATTTCTTACTAGCCTTTAAATAAGGAGATTACCCTTAACTAGCATAGATTGGGGTTATTGGGAATTGATATTTCTCTTTTTCCATTATCCTAGGTACAAAACCTATGTTCTCTAGCAGGGGTGTCAAACTGGTGGCCTGGTGACCGGATGCGTCACTTGCAGGCCACGCCCACCCCAAGGGAAAAAAAATATCACGATACATCACATGACGACAACGTGATGCCTTGAGTTTGACACCCGTGTTCTGTAGGGATCTGCATGGATCTCTCCTCCATCAAAATACAGTTATGAGAGCCATACATTTGTTGAAAACCACGGCTGAGAAATCTCCCTAAAACATTTTTCAGTGAAAATCTCCTTCTCCTAGAAAATCACAAGTGAAAGTAGAGCATAAATATCATGGAAGGAAATAATGAGTTGCTACTGGAGCCTTATGACCAGAACCAAGAGTATCTGTAAACTTCAATATTGATTTTGCTGTTTCATTGCTGAAGCACTGTCAGCATTTTCAATGAGCTCTTCTCCATGTCTACATCATCTTTTCTCTTTGGTTAAAAACCAACTCAATACGTTTTAGTGAGTTTGTTTTGTATAAAAAGGTGAAACAAAGGATTCTCTGTAACATTCAGTAGCATTATTGAAGACTGCTGTGGCTCTCAGTGTGAATTCTGAATCTTTATTCACAGTTTTTTTTTGAGGTGTCCTTTCAGATTTAATGCTGGATCTTATATTAGTGGACATTCAAGTTTATCTTTGTAGTATTTTGAGCATAAAGATATTTGTGGCATTATCAACTTTAAGCAGGCCTATGTTTGCCTTAAAGATAAAACGGTAACCAGCCCTGTTTCAAAGCTGAAGCTAGCTCCATGTTCTATAGATTGCGGATATTGTTTGTTTGTTTGTTTGTTTGTTTATTGGATTTATATACCGCCCTACTCCCGAAGGACTCAGGGCGGTGAACAGCCACAAAATAAAACACATAAATACAAAAATTTAAAAGCAGAATAAAACCGAATTAAACAATTTGGCCCAAGACAGATTTAACACACCCCAGTAATTTAAAACAGATTAAAATTTACATTATAAAAGAAAAAAGGGCACCTGCGTCATGCTTGACCACACCCACACCCGATTTAGCAAAGGGGGAAAACGTCTCGATACATCACATGATGCTGCCGTGACGGCGTGAGTTTGACACCCCTGCCCTATACCATTTCAGATAGGTGTCTGTCCAGTCTTTTTTAAAAAACCTTCAGTGGTGAACCACCCACAACTTCTGAAGACAAGCTGTTTCTCTGGTTAATTGTTCTCACTGTTAGTAAGTTTCCCCTTAATTCCAGATTGCCTCTCTCCTTAATTAGTTTCCACCCATTGTTTCTTGTCTTGCCTTCTGGTACTTTGGAAAATAAGTTGATCCCCTCTTCTTTGTGGCAGCTCCTCAAATACTGGGATACTGCTGTCATGTTACCCCTAGTTTTTTGTTTCTCTAGACTGGCTGTAGCCAATTCCAGCAACTGTTCTTCATATGTGTTTGTCTCCAGGCCCGTAATAATCTTTGCTGCTCTTTTTTGCACTTCTTTGTGCACTTTGCACAAATCCCCTTGGTGCCCTTTATTTCTTTAGAATTAAGAAAATACAGTACATAATAAACCCTCTGCCCAGTGACAGAAAGAATAATGTCCTATAAGGCAGTGGTAAATGAATCCCTTTATGATTCCTAAATATGAGATATGTTTAAGAGCTGTTGTTTTTTTAAATGTACATTTTTCTTTCTCAAGTTACCATGTGGGCAAAGAAACCCTTAGGGATTTCTTGAAGCTATGTGCAAGTGTTCCCTTTGAAAAAAAAAATTCAAGAAATATATTTTGCAAAGAATTATGAGCTCTGTTTATTGATAATTTAGCTAAGAATATTAAGATGTATTGCTCTTCTAAAAAGTGTGCCGTTTTGAGCCTTTTACTGGTTGCTAGCTATTAATGTAGGATTCCCCCTGCTTTTTTTTCCTTCAACGTTTTGAGACTGTAGCATATCTTGCTTCATTTTTGGGTAGGTTGATGGATTGCTCGAACTACTTAATATATTTAATTGGTTTCTTTTAATAATCCCACGCTTGTGCATTTAAGGCTTATCCACTAATTCCAGTGTCTGAACCTTTTCACAGTTTTCCTCAGTTTTTAAACTAGTAGATAGACTGAATCTCATTTCCCTGCTCCTTGCTCTGAGTGAAACAACTCTTGAAAAGTTCCTTTTGAAACTGAAGAGAGGTTATTAGTTCAGGATGCCAGCCATAAATTAATACACTTGCACAACAATTTAGATTTCATCTGCAAGCCAAGTTGCATATTAACCATTCAGACACAGGAATCCATTCATGTAGCGTTCAAGAAAACACACTTGTTTGTTTCCAGCTGCAGCAGTTCCAGCTGTGAAATGATAGATAGACCTCCATCTATACATCTGGTATGTATATAGTTTATGGCTCCGGTAGGCTTATGTGATAAAAATTATATGAACATTTCTTACAAGAATCACTCTATTTTGTGGAACCCTCCATAATCAACAGCAACTTGTGTTTATATCTGCACTGATGTTTTGCCTATTAAAACATGTAGGTAATAAACTTTATAAGAGAAGTTTCAGATTTTTCATTTCAAAATCGATTTTGGGTGTGTAGCTACTGTATATTTTTTAAAAAGTTAACACTGAGCCTTTAAGAATCAGTCTCCCAAAATCAGATCTCTGAAGCTGGGAATTCCTGTTTTGGTATTTCATCACAGCCCTCTGTTATTTCTTTATTTAAAACATTTAAATTCTCTCTAAACTCCAACAGGGATCTGAATAACACACAACCAGACTGATAAAAAAAAAAATCACTGTAAAACACAAAAATAGACAATGGCAAATAGCAGCTGCAGCTACAGCAAAAATAGACTCCTTCTCTAATAAGTGTACTCGAATCTCGAATCATATTTTAGAATTCCTTCTTAAAATTCATGCACAAATGGACACATTTGCCACATTTATTTTAGGTGTTATTACATATAAATTCACAACTCCCCATTGAGAATGACACTTGGGTTATTTAGATGCCTTATGCAGACACAGTAGATGTCTTCTGAATAAAAGCATGAGAAGCATCAGGGAAGTTGCTTCTTTATAATAAACTCTGTTCCTCTTCTTGGTTTGTACTCGGTTGACCATTAATGAGATCCTTTAATGCAGGGGTCCATGACTCCTAGGCTGTAGCCTAGTACTGGGCTGCAGACCGTTGGGAACTGGATTGCACAAGCTGTGTGTGAGCGTGTAAGACGCCATTTGTGTAAACGGTGTAAACACCTGCTGCTTGCACAGATGGAGCTTCACACATGTGTCTGCCACTTGCACAGAACCGTTTCCTCTGCCCCACCGCCGCCGCTGCTGGTCCACAGAACCGCAAAGGTTGGGGATCTCCGCTTTAAACTGCAAAACTATCTGTCTTTAACTAAAATACTTATCAGTGAGATATTTTTTCCCCATTGGGAAGCGATATCATTCTAATTTGAAGTTGATCAAAACATGTATGAAACCCTAATGGATTTAGTAATGATGTATATATGCATGTATTTATCGTATGTATATGTATACTATCTCTCTCTCTCTCTCTATGATGGGAATTGTGCAGTGGCCTAGAGGTGGAGCTCTCGCCTCACAATCAGGAGGCTATGAGTTTGATCCTAAGTAGAGGCAGATATTTCTCTCTCTGGTCACAATGAGAATTTATCTGCTGAACAAAACTCTGCATTGGTGACAGGAAGGGCATCCAACTAGTAAACACTCTGCTAGTTCCATTCAGTTGCCCCGACTCCACCCTGCAAGGAATTATGGGGTCGTTAAAAGAAAATGATGATGATACTGTTCTGCCCTAATCACGGACCCAAAGAACGCAGCACACACAAATTCTGTATAAACCTTAGTTTACTAAATTAAATAAGTCTTTTTCAAACAAAGGCTGTTAATTAACTTTCTTAACAGCTTACAAGAATCCAAAGAATAAATAATCGTAATCTTACTAGGATTGGCAGAAAGCCCAGAAGCAATTTGCAGGACACTGATAAAAGAACTAAGATCCAGACACGAAGGAGAGTGAACGAAGTTGTTCCCTGCAAATTGCCTCAGTTGTCATCCGTCCTTAAATAGGCTAAGGGAGTGGCCAATTAGCCCCAAGCCTTACTCTTGAGGAGACCTCCTCCTGAGGAGCCACTCCTGCCTTTTGGCAGCTCTGCGCGCCCATGCATTGAGAAGAGGCTCCTCCTCTTCTTCCTCTTCACCCATGGAAGCTTCTGGAGGTTCTGAAGGCCCTGGCTGATTTCCCGCCTCTGGCACCACATCTTCTCCAGCCTCCTCATTGTCCGACTTGAGTGCCAGCTGCACAGGCTGCTAGAGTAGCACCACACCAGCCTCCTCACTGTTGGAATCAGCTACTAGCTACACAAGCTGCTGACAGGCCACAACAGATACTGTACATATGACTATTTCAAATTATTTTAAGTATACTAGAGGGACGTAATTGAATTTTTTATAGCCCTAGTGACAATGCTTGGATATTTATTCTGTAATTTGTTTGTATGATTCTAAGACATCTTCATTAGCATAGAATAAATATTTCATATAGCACAATGATAATGATGATGACAACACCTTTTAGAAGTCTGCAAAATGAAATGAATAAAAGGAACTGTAATGTATTGTTTGTTAAGCAAATCCCTCTGTGGGAGTTATAGCCACAATACTAAAAAGAATGAGGACAGCATGGATTCGTCACTTCTAAGCCAGCAGAGATATCACAGAACAACTGCATCTAAAAACTCAGTTCCAGGAGAATTATACCGTGGCAAAATAGGATACGGTACAGCTTCAAGACTGTACCGTATAACTGAGCTTTATTGTAACTTTTGTATTTTAGTGATGGTTATTTATTTTTGTAATTCTAACCATGTGCTAGCAGTCAGTTGGAATGTTTAATAAGCTCTCTTTTTAAAGACTGCGTGAGACCATTAGGTAGCATAGAGTGCCAGGAAATAGCAACTGATCTCACCCACATAGGACCTATAAGCCCCAATTCAGCAACTTGGAATGATAATGGCAGGGTTTTGAAGATATATTTACTTGGTGGGTGTTTAGTCATTCATTCTCCAGAGAGTGGTAGGGTACAATGCCATTTTTGGAATTGTATACAGCTGGAATCCAGAGAGGTGATGGTAGGAGGTGCTGCACAACTCTCAGTGTTTTGACTTTACATTGTGACAAAGTCTGCCAGTAAACCAAGACAGGCATTTTTGTTTTCAATATGGACATATTGACATCACATAAGAGAAAGAAAAATGTAGGTCATAAACAGAATTATATTGATAATAAGTAATGTGGGATTATTTATTTTCCTGATCCTTAAACTATTACATGAGAACAGCGTCAATCACAGTAAGTCAAGACTTTGTCAAAATGATGGAAACATGCTCTGCCCCTTGTGCCAGTTGCATACAACATTAAGAAGTGAATGCAAAATAGATAGACTTTGTGTTGGGCCATCTCAATGCACTTGTCATTTGTTTCTCTTGCACCCTTGTGGTTCAGGACCACAACTGCTTTACTCAAACCTTTATCATTGGTTTCCTTGCTTGTGTTCCATCACACATACTCATCAACCTGTCCATTCGCCACATATCCTTAGTTAGTCATGGGCAATTTAATTTGCTTCAAATTTCAGATTCCTCTTCCACTCCTATGGGATTATTAATAGAAGACTTTCAGAATAATTATTCAGATGCCTGTGTTTTGATACTTATAGTTCTACCCTGGACAGTATTTAGAATTTAGAATATCAGAGTTGGAAGGGAGTAAAAAATATCTTCAGAAATGTACTCTGTTTTAGGATGCTTTGATATATTTTTAAAAAGGGAAGCAAAGCAAAATAGCGATGTCGCATTTCTATTACCTTATGACTCTTTTCCTTGGTAAATCCTTTTTTTCCCTTGCAGTGGCCCAGTTGGATAATATGGGTTTCAGCATCGTCAAGAAATGTATCCATGCCGTTGAATCGAGAGGTGATTTTGCCAAATAACAGAACTATATTCTATCTATATAGCAGATGTAAACTTCCTCAGCATTCTTTCTTCCCTCGATTGTCATAGATACAATCTTGGTTTTCATGACCTGGTTTTAAATCATCTTATGTTGCTGATGGGAGTTCATCTTTAAAATATCGAATGAAAGAACTTTTGAGAATTATACTTTCCAAATGTATTGTTTCTTTTTAGACTCCAGCTCAAAGCTGTGTTAGTTTTCTGATTATCTTTTTCTGATTGTAGATATTTTAGACCTTTATGAACACAAACCGTGGCTTATAAAAAGAGTTGTTGAGCTTTAGCTTTTGTACCCCACGACTACAAGTCTGTATTCGATGTAACATTGATTCGATGTTAAATAAAAAACATAGTTTAAGAATATTGGGGTCGATTGAAATTATAGGTTAAATATTATTATTCAACTGTATAACCAAACTGGTGATTGTTTTGAAAAAAAAACCCTTTCAAATAATTAAAGTTAAGGTCATTTAACCTCTATGTCTAATTCTTAGAGACATTCTGTACTGCTGTTTGTGTATATGACCTCTCAGCCCCAACCCCACACCTAACAACAGATTCTTATATTCCCTCGTTTTTTAAAAAATATCTCATTATAGTGGGGGAGTAACTTTTACTAATAATCACATCTGGGTCTTTAATCTGAAACAGAAAGAAATGCTATCCACTTTAATAAGAAACTTGAAAAGTGTGTAGAACGCTGTGAGAGACTTTTAATTAGTGTAGCTCTGTGAGAAACTGCTTTTTTTGTAAAAGAAAAAAAGAAGAAGAAGCATTAAGTTACTTTTCAACCATTTATCTAAATTAAATAATTTCACTCCATAGGGATCAACGAACAAGGACTCTACAGAATAGTTGGGGTCAACTCCAGAGTTCAAAAACTATTGAGTATCTTAATGGGTAAGTAGAGCTGAAAAAAAAATAACATGCTGGGTTTTTTTCCTGTGCCAATGGTGATGTGAATGTAACCCAATGAAAAGAGACTTACCACTGTGAATTTAATTATTTTTTAAAAAAAATCAGCTTGTAATGGAAGATTATCATGCAAGATCTTCATTGCACTACACTGAAATACCTAGTGAAAGGAATGCCTATCACATTTTTCTAGTATTTTTTCTACTTTACAAATTAACCTGCTTTTTAGAAAAAAATCACTTTCTGTTTTGTATTAATATTTATATGCAGGTGGCTAATAATTAAAATGACATCTGCAGAAAAGAAAAACAATCTACCCATACAACAAACTAAATACTATTTCAAAATTATATAAAGAAGAGAAATAAGTAAGAAAACACACATCCTAAAGTTGAAATCTGAAATCACTAGGTACCTCCTGCATTTGATTGAATAGCTTCCCCCACCCCACCCCACCCTCCAGCCCAAAAAAAACCCACCAGGGGAAAAAACAGACTGGATCTACATAGGTAGGAATGCTGCCACATCAGAGTAGAAATTGAAAGTGCCCAATTCTGAGATCACATCAGGTAGCATCTTTGTAGCAATGGGATCTGGAGGGGATCAACTCTGTTCAACCTGATGTAATAGAAGATAGCATTCTGGTGCTATCTAGGGCAGGGAAGGTGACAGTCAGCATCTAGAATTGTACTGGAGGTAAACTACTTAACTTTCAAAGCTATAGGTGTCACCGTATATTAAGATATCACATCACTGCCCAGGCTGTCAGATTTTGTACCAGCTTTCCAACTGCTCTTCAAGAGCGGCGCCATGTAATATGTGTACAGTCTCTTGCTCCAAGGATGATCATAACTGATGCGTAAGATGTAGCTGTGCCAAAGTCATCATGATTTTTTCCTGAGCTTTCCCATCCCAAATTCCTGCTTAACTGTGGTTTGTGTATTTATGCATTAATTTCGCTTTCTCTCTATTTACTTGCCATAATGTGCAAATGTTGTTTTTATTGTTTGTTTTTAATTACTCTACTGTGAGTTTTTTCTTAGCTTCTCAAGAACAGATTTTTTTTTTAAATTGACAGATGGGAATTTCCAGTGCTTTTTAGCTTTGAACCTATGCTACTTCCAAAGTCAATATTCTGACTAAGTGCAAGTTTAAGTGCAAATAATAGGTTCCTATTAGTTTTTCCTAGATAATTAGACCCTAGATACATTGCAGATATTTATTAATATATTGTAATAATTTATAGCTACCTTTCAGAGGGTACGATTTTTCTAAAGGGCTTTACAATCAAAATAAACATTTGTAATTAAAAATACCATGCATATGAAAAAGACAAAGAAAGATATTTCTAGGATCCTTATCATAAGACAAGTGGAAGAAAAGACCTGCTGAGCGTCAGTGAGGCCTTCCTTCCCCCTCCTTCCTTCTATATGAAATAAAAGTAGCAAATATTTAACGGGTATATGTTATTTTAGCAGCAGCTCTACAATCTATATAAAATAAGTAAAAAAGAATTTTACAACATATTATCAGTGCTGATAAATTTTTGGCTATCTTCAATTGTCATTTAATGGAGGCATTCCATCAAGTTATGTAAACTATTATTTATTTAAACTATTTTTCTCAGTTGGTCATGTGACTTTAAGAACTCTACCCTCTCTCCCTACCTTCCTCTTTTCTTTTCAATTGAAAGTTGGAGGGCAGAAACTAGTGATATTTTTGCACTGAAGAATAAAACTGAAGAGTAGAAGATTGGAGTTGATGGACAAAATATCAATATATAGTGTAGTTATTTATGGAGAGAAAAGATAGAAATTTAGTGGAAGCATTAAGACTATTTTAAAGAATAAAAAATAAGGCTTGAGAAAATAGTTGCAGTGGTTTGGGCATGTATTGAGGGTAGAGCAGCGGTGTCAAACTTGCGGGCCGGATGCATCACACACTGGCCACGCCCACCCTGGTTTTAGCAAAAGGGGGAAAAGTTGCAATACGTCACATGATGACGTGTCATCGCGAGTTTGATACCCCTGGGGTAGAGGCAAAGATTGTGATCCGTCAGTACAAAGAGAATGAAGAGACCCTGAAGACATTGAAGAGAAGGAGGCTGCAGTAATAAATCTCCATGGACATAAAGGATTTTCTGGTCTTGGGGATGGAAAGGACCCTAAGAATCCCTGTGACTAAGAATGAATAATGAACTGACTAAATGGGAAAAACATCTTTCTCTAAGGCAGTTCTAAGTGCAGCCACCTGTGCTATAATTATTAACTAGTCTGAAAAGTGAATACTTGCTTTTCTATTTACTCCCTAATGATTAAACATTAAGTTTGCATAGGACAACTAAGGAATTGATTTGCATAAAACATCAGAACGGAAACCTTTTACTTCCTGACTTTTTCTTAGAATGTTCCCCTTTTCAAATGTTTAGTCTTGTTCTGATAACGATCACTAGAATGGGCTTTTTTCCCCCTTGCATTTTCCCATCTATACATAGAAACAAGTGTGGTTAGTATTACTGGTTAACATTTGGTTTAAATGGTAACAGGATCTGGTTTCAGGGAAATATTACTGGTTCGTAAATGACAAGGGAATGTGGCTACACTTCTATACTTAATTGGAAACACCAGGTGCTTGATGTGGCTTGGACTTGGAGCCTCTGGTAAACCAATTGTTAGATGTGCAACAGCTGCCGGAAAGCCAATTGCAGAAGTCCTGTTTGATTTGATGAGGTTGAGTCTTGAAGTTCCTGATGCCTCCCACTGAAAAAGGCACAATAATTACCAGTTAAATTGTTTGACGATACATTTTTCTCTCTCACCTCTGAGTGATAAATAGTAGTATTGCTTATTAACAAATGTCTTCTTGACTTTAACAGACTATTTTCCGAATAAGGGGAAAAAAATCTATAGAGCTAAAAGTCTTCTCCAAAATTAGTTTAGGGTTCATCAGAAGCAGCAAAAATTACAAAATCTGCTATTTAGAACTGTCATTTACAGGATAATTAAAGATATAATAACAGAGCAGTTGTGAATGGTCAAGTGCCATATTTAGCAACCAGACTTCCCTTCAGTAATGTGGTCACATAGCAACTTTCTGCTATGCAGCTTACAGCTTTTAAACAAATCAAAGGAAAGCAACCGAGAAGTTTTAAAACTGAGGAATAGAAGATTGGAATAGAGCAGGGGTGTCAAACTCGCAGCCCGCGTGCTGGATGTGTCATGCGCTGCCCACGACCAGTTTAGCAAAGGGGAAAAAAGTTGCGATACATCACGTGACAATGCTGTGACAATGCAGGTTTGACACCCCTGGAATAGAGGGACAGCCAGAGAGGGACATAGGGACAATTGCAATAATAGAAACCTGAGGCTGCCAGTGCATGAATAGTAGTAGCTAGGCTGTTTCTTTCAAGGAAAGGGTATTAATGTTTTATTTATTACTGTTATATGTTCCAGAGAAGTCCTGGCCATAGAGGTCAAAGGCCTCCAACAATACTGATGACTCTAGGAACGGATGGATGGATGGATGGATGGATGGATGGATGGATAGATAGATGGTATACAGACATTAATTCATTTAAAAACATGAAAAATGCAAAGTTCTTGAATCATTTTATAAGAATGCTTCTGGGAAGTACATAATTCCTATAATCTTTTTTAGAAAATAAAAATTATGAATGAATTTCAGGCAATTCTTTCTTTAGAAATGTACCGCCAATACACAGAAATATCAGGGAGAGCTGGAGGAGAAGGTAAAGACTTTACCTTCTGCTGAATGGATACAGATGGAAGGTGTATGCATACATCTAGATAGAATTGTTGCTCTATGGTATGTTATCAAGTGAAAGTATGCCAAGTGTGCCCACTGAACCGCAAAGGTGCCCATACATGAAACAGGATATACATGATTGGATCTGGTAGCAACAAAAGAGATTCTCATACATGAGTTTTTGTGATGAAATGGAGATATGTTGTGCCATCCATATTATTAAAAACAAATAAAAAAAGGAAACCAGCCTGATTATTTAGTTGGATTATCTGTTAGGTTTTGTGAGGATGATTATGACATATGCACTATGTTTTCTTGAACAAAGTCAGTTCACATATGGTATATGTAGGACTGCCTAAAGATAAGTTTAATGAAACAAATAGGACATTGGTCAAATGATGGAATAGGCTGCCAACATTAGGAAAAAGTAACAAATATATACAAGCTGAATATTTTATTTTATGTATTTATTTATTTACTGTGTATAGTTCTCGTCTTATGATTGGTCGCTTAATGACTTTTCAAAGCTACAAGAGGCTCAGGAAAGATTACTTGCAACTCATTCTTAAAGTTACAATTGCTGCATCACCCCCACGGTCACATGATCACGTATGGGGAGCTTGGCACGTTTGCACTTAACAACTGGTTGAACTATGTTAAACAACTATGCTATGGTTGTCTAGTTTCCTGCAATCGTGATCACTATTTGCAGTTTTCTTTGCCAATTGAATGAAGTCAGACAGGGAAGAAAATCAATGGGAGAGCCAAAAGGGAAGGTTACAAGGTATTGCTGCCTGCAGAAAGATTTCCCCTCACCTCTGCATGGTGTGGAGTGGTGGGGAAATTCCTGTTCGGGGGTGGGTGGGTGGGTTAGAGAAATTAAGGTCCTCGGGATGCAAGCCTCTTTTCTCCAGCCCAGCACTGGAGTCCTGTTCCCAGCCTACTTAATGACTTGCAATAACTTACATCAGTGTTCCAAGCCCAATTGTGGTTGTAAACATTATGTGGCTTGTTTGAAGCTATGATTAAAATTAATCCCAGTTCTTGATTTATATGGCATGGCAAACTATAGTTAATCAAAAAATAGTATATAAAGTTTATTGGAAATCTCATTCTGGCTATAATTAAGGACAAAGAAAGGAGGGATTCTAATCCTGGCAAAACACTTTGGTTTAGCATAGTTTATTAAAAATTCCAAATTCAGTTAATTGGATTTCAAA